TATCGTGCCAACTGAAACATGAGGCGGTCTATATGCAGCACACTCAGTTGTAGAATATCATAAACGAGAGATTCAGTCGAGCCTCTCGTGAAAACCAAATTGAGTTGCAAATGAGTGTATTCCTCGAATATACTACTGATTTTTTGGAGAGATGTCATTCATCTGAACCATGCCTACCAGTGTTTCTTTTCTCTTTATTTGGTTCACTTACTTTTCTAAGTCATTTAAAGGCTGATTCATCTAATCACAACTTTGTATTTGTGGATTTGTACTCAGCTGTCTTTGAAAGATTATCGATGCTATATCCTAAGCGAGAGCTGACCACACCGTAGTTCGGCCGTTTGCTGTTAGGCGTTCGGAACTTTGTGATTTCTGTTTAATGGGTACCCCTGACGATCTCTGTTTAGGACGAAACGGTTGTACAGTGTTTCTCGGCTTTTGATCAAAGATTAGCTTCAATGGCAGAATGAAATCTCAGTCTAGACTTATGGAGCCTATTCACCCAGACGATGTGCGATAATTCGAGCAGGGTGTCACACGTAAAACACCAAGTTATGGATAAAAGGTGGCCAGGCCTACGTCTTAAAGATTTTCACAAATACATTGCTAGTTAATGAATCCTGAGAAGTAGATCCTCAAGAACGTGCAGTTTTTAACTTTTGAGTTAGTTGTTCTTGTGCCGCACAAGTGCTGGAGGTCACGAACGCTAAGCCACGCGATCTGAAAACGTTATCTGTTCAGCCGCAACTTTAAGGTAACTCTCAGACTGATCAGATTCAAGATTACAGCGAACTACGCCTATGGTACAGATTTAATCGACTGTAGTTCTTAATCGGTATAGACATATATCCAATTGGGCACCTTTGAGGAAGACAGATACGCGTAATTATTTTGAATTGCACCAATAGTCTACCTCCTAAATGCGTAAAACTGACTAACGGCCACAGCAACGCGTCCGAAACGTCCGTGTGAGTAAACTCCGAACCCAAAACATACATCTGATTGGTGTGCCCGACCAATCATCCAACATCGACCCAGTAACTGTCCTGGTTGTGACGATCGATTGGCCCGCCAGTCAGGTAGCGTGGCACATGCTTGAAACCCACTGGGCAGAATTTTGGTTGCAGTTTTGGGGTTTTGTGGGAGAGAGATTTTGTTCATAATCACACCACTGGCGTTTGAACGGTCGTGCTCCTGTTCTGGCCTAATTATTCCGGTGAGTCCACTTCAAAGGGAGGCATTGAACTCGAGTTTCGCTCTTATTAGAGCTCATCAGCTCAAATGTGAACACGTTCGCCTGTTCAGACATGAAAATTCAGATGCGTCCAACGTGCGTTGGTGGTGTATGGGTTACACGTTCGCTTCGCATTTCAGATGTCCGGGGTTCAAATCCCGGCACGACCATTGGATTTGCACTGCTGATTCGCTCTCATAAGAGCGAAACTCGAGTTCAGTGCTTCTCTTTGGCGTGGACTCACTAGAATAATTAGGCCAGAACACGCGGACGACCGTTCAAACGCCAGTGGTGTGGCTATGAACAAAATACCAATCCGGCAAAACCCCAAAACTGCAATCGAAACATACATGTTTGCGGGTAACAAATTTCACCCGTCTGTCAATCAACACACATGGACCAATATTGAGATTCACCCTTCAAGGTTGTCAGTCTCAACGCCACGAAGTTAAAGAAACAACCGCCGTCAATACTGAACTGTTCTCTGAGGAAAACGATCATATCGTTTGTGAACAGGCTTTGCCTCGAATGCTTGTTTCCGAAAGAGTCCCCAGTGGCAAACAGTTATAAAACTCAATAAAACGTTAGGTATTTCAGAGTAAAAATGTCGTAGAAAGATGTCATAACACGAATTCATCCGTTGGTTGCGAATAGACGGTGCACACGGATTGGCAACACCCACGCCTCCAAGTGATGTTTCCGATGACACGGAGAGGACGAGCATGACCTCTGGATCTAAACTTTGCTGATAATGCATTTATCCACGTTTCGTAGCGACTGAACCATGAGGCGGCCTGGTGCAGCACATTCAGTTGCCTACAGACATCACAAACGAGAGATTCAGCTGGGTCCCAAATTAGTTCGTGAACGAGTGCGTTTCGCTGAAGTTGCACGTTATTCGTCCTCCAAATGCACCACCGAAAAAGTGGACCTGGCGACAATTTCTACGGCTTTTGGACGTCTGTAGGTTATTTTGTTTCTTAAGGACTTGTACTATTTGATAGCGTGATTGGACACGAAGCTTCCCCTCACCGCATTCCAATGAAAACCAAGCTAAAAACATTAGAAACGAATTTTATTGAAATCGATGAGCTGTGGGCGAGGCAAGTGTGAGATCAGGTTAGGAAACTTGGCTTCTGTGAACGGACGGCAGTTTACTTCTTTGGAAGTTTGCTTGGCGAAGCGTTTGCTTTCTGCCGCGCCAGCGAGCAGTCGCTGATGAATTAGGTTAGGGATGACACGCTGAAGAGGTTGGAGCGTGTACACCCGAAACCAAACTGCCGTCCACAAGCTAAAGCACCGCTTCATTATTTTCACTTATTGCCGGCGAAAATATTCTAGCAGTACAATCCATCACACTGTTGCGGGAAGCAAAAATATACAATCACACGGGATTCCGAGGATATTTCGCGGCTTCTCGAGGACGGTACACGTGACCGGAACTCTAGGGGACACTCCGCGTAACCGATTATCTTAGCGAGTATGTAGCACAAATAGCAGCCTCAGAAGTTATCTGAAAAAGCAGCAAAAACGGTAGTTATGGGCTGGATTCAGTTTCTAAAACCTTCTCCCTCGCCATACACGTCTGTTGGCACCGCTTGTGTGGAGAAATTTAATAACTCCCTGTAGCGTGGATCCCACTGGCGGTGCTCCAGTCAATGTGTGAAAGGACTGGATACATGTCTCCAACAGAAGACTATCACTTGGTCAAAAATTTGATCGCACTGCTGCAGCAGCGAATTCTTACTAATTTGTTTGACCGAACCGCAGCTGTCTAAGGAGCAAGAACTAATTTAATGCCGAACCAATTCATCTTGGCAACTGGACGGAGCACAATACTTGTAAGTTTGCTGAAAACTTTTCTACAGCCCATGACGGGCTTCGCCGTTTTTGAGGCTCACCTGGTAGACGCAGTCCCTGAGTTTCCGTGAGCATAAAGCTTTGCAGTGCGCCTACTTGAAGTCCTTACAATGAAGTTGAACAAACGAGTCTCAAACAGAAACCGACTTCGTCGTACTACGTGGACCACAAACGGGCATCAATGGTCACATCCTCGGTGGACGGTAATTTCACAAAACTGACACTGTGAACTTCCGTGAAACTGTCTGGGCAGCCACCGGCATAAGGTTGCTGAAGACTATTCGACAACCCACTGCTAGTTCCGTCTGTCTTGGAGGGGATCAAGTGGATCAAGTTTCCTCCGACTATGTTTTACGAAGGAACATCAAATTATGAACAGACGATGCAATATACACCCATTTGAAAGTATGTGTTGACGGGAGACTCGATTGAATGCCATCTGAATGTCGAGTCTAGTACATCTTTCACATGAATGTGCTGCACAAGAGCTGCTTCTTGTTTTGGTTGCCATGATATTCATCTAGCACCAGTCACAAGCTCGACGGAAACTCTGGGCAGCCTACGACCGCTTTTTGCTCTTGTTGAGCTTATTCGGATGTGTCCAATCCTCGAATTTCCATTGGGCTGAAACTCACTTTTCTACGGTCAACGCCATCTGTTTTTGTCTCGCTAGCCCAGTCAGATTCAGCTTGAAAACGAGCTTCGTTAGCAAATGATTTTATGTCGTTGATGGAAACTCCGGACTATGTCTGCCGAAAAAACCTCAAAGTGAGGAGCAGGTGGCGGTCCTAGAAACGTCAAAAAATATGCACGCATATCAAGGGTATCGTTCCTACTGGAAAGTAAGGTGACTTTTGTGCGGCATAGATCAATTCGCTCGGTAATCTTTTCAGACTCAGAATCGACCATTCTCACGGACGGCCTTGTCCGAGGACGACAGAGTTAGATTCTGAAGATGCTAGTACCATGTTTCCATTTTGCAAATGCATTAGGAGAATCACAGCTGCAGAATCAGTCGCATTCTCATGGGTTGAGACTATCAGAAGACTCTTAAATGCTTGAACATCTGAGCAACACTGATCCCACCAGATAGTACAAAAACAAAACATTCGACAGGATAAAGTTCAGCAGGCTACTGATGGTCCGCGTCTAATTCACAACCGGTTTTCCAAAATGCTTCGTGTGTAGCTAACGTCACACATATTCAGACAGGAAACGTTTAGCTGACAGTATCTAGTCCGCAACAAAAATCTGCCTGCACCCGGGGCACTATGCGATAGTTCGGCAATTTTATGAGCATGTTTCCGTACACGAAAACTGCTCGTGTTGAACCCGAAGACTAAGCGATGGGAAACAGACAGACTGGGAGTAGCGAAAACGTGCTTGTCTCGTCCGCTATGGCGTCAAATCGGAGCGATTTACTCTTTCGTGTTACGCAACATAAGGATAAAGTCTTTGAGCCAACTGTTCCGATCGGAAATGAGGAATTGTAGTGTGAAATGGTCAATTGTTTTCACATACTCGAGATTCGACTGAGTACCGACCAGGCAGTACACCCGGTAAAACCGCGTTTATTATCAGCTTATCTGAAAACAGGTTTTTATTTCGCAGTCTCATGATAGAAAATGAAACGAATACTTCGGCTCGTAGTTGCCCAGATAAAAGTAGTCTCGCTAGATGCCAAAATCTCTAGTGAATACTTGATATTTTATGGACCAGACTGTCATTCAGCGGTGCAGCCGTTTCGGGTCACACTTCGGAAACCAACTTTCTTGGACGGAAAGCATTGCAACGAATCTACGACCCTGGTACGCGTAGTCATCAAACCAAACAGCGGCACCTTCTGCCAGCTGTACAACACAAATCAGTCTTCAGTGTAGTGCGATAGAGTGAATTTACATAGGACTTATCCCCGAGAGTTATCACGAAGAAAGAAACGTTCAGCTGTAGCCCCCTTCAGAAGCCTAACTGCCATGCCACCCGAAGGTTGCACGAGGACTGGGATACTGCCAGATCGCCCAAGCCAGGACAGGAGAATTCGAGAGGCAGAGGTCGGGTTTGAACCACGGACCTTCCGGTGAGCGAATTCGCACTCTAACAACTTGGGCCCACATGATGGCACGAATCCCGACCAGACAAATGAAAGTAAAAAGCATATTTCAAATATAGGATATTTCAAACTGTACAGAGTTGGAGAGGTGGGGCGGGCCAATTCCACCGCCTATCCGGTGGAATCCGAATCATGTGACGCAGTGCAGTGATTTGCCCCTGGAGAGAGCTTCTGCGGAATGGACGAAGACTGTGCTAATAAGAAAATAAATCATTCGTGGAAGAAGACGACGGAGTGAATCGAGTGGACTTGCGCCTGTCCGATTTGGAGTGTTTGTGAGTACGCTTGTGCTTGCGACGGTGTTTGTGCTTCCCGTGTTTGGTATGCTTTCTTTTTTTGTTGTCTCGATCAACGGTCGACTGGGTTGAGTCTGTCCATTCAATGTCATTCTCCTGAAAGTAGATGGTGGAGGTTAAATATTCTAATGTTTCAAGACGAAGTACGGGAAGCTCCACTGAAAAGACGTACACTTGTGACAATTCGAGGTGATGTCAACAGGGCGACTGAACTGCTCACTAGTAAAGAATATCGGTAAGATCGAGTTGTAAATCGAGCTTGTTCATAGCATGCTCAGTCGGAGATGAACCTGTGAGGATCCGACGCATAGCCATGTTTCCGGTCAAGCCAAAATGGTACTTACCTTCGCCCCCGCACGAACAAAGAACCTTTGAACATTATCTGTTATGGTCCACCGGAACGACCACTCATACAACAAAACCCCGAATTGTTGAAACCGAGAAAATTCGCGTGGTAACGTTATTTTTCCCGGCTTAGTTCTCGGTCTGAGCCTCCTAAGCTAGCGTTCACGTCAAAACAACTACCAAAGGTGCACAAGGTATATTAACGCCCAAAACGAAGTCAGGAACACTTGTGCAGCGCTTCACATACATAGCGCAGGCGGTTGTAACTTTCTGGAAATTCTGACGCGTTCTGGATGTGCCATTGGCAACCTGCATTCGGCCAATACTGGGTCATGATTGGCTGTTGGGTCCAGACTTTCGACAATCAGATCTCGTCTTGACGCCGGGCCAGCAAGCGTCCCGAATTTTTGGCCAATCGTTCGTGGGATGGACTTCTCAGCCGTAGCAGCACCTGAGTGCAAGTGGTGAAGAGGGATTCGTGTGGAATTCCGCCTTACAATTCTCCATTTGCATCGAATACGATCACTCCCTCATTGGACCACTTCTTAACTAGGGCTACTTGCTTGTGGCCTCGTAAAACCGGGGTTGGAATGAATACATATCATCAACTAGGAATACAATCCGCCCTGGCTGACCCCTTGGTGAACACGGTTCTTCCCTCAAGAAATACGACACACGCCTGATACACTGTCTTTGTTGATACTGTGACAACAAGCACGGTAGCCGAGCACAAGTTCGCCTTTGAGGCTTTTCATCTGTATAGCACATAAACAGCATATAGAAGCAGTCAAAAAGTGAATCTTACATCAATAAACACACTGTTGTTTTTTTTCAGTGTTTATGCTGTATTGTGTTCATGTGTGCTACACAAAAAATTCCCTCAGACGAGTGCCCGAAATGGACAAAGCGTAGCAAATGTTAGGTCTGTCTGAACACCCGAACGGTTCAAAAGTGGGTAGAAACGAAGACGAAATATACAAGCTTAGATTTTTGTAATGCACTACTCATAAGGTTGCTGAAAACTACTCGACAGCCTACGACCATGAGTAGTGTGCTACAAAAATATATAGGTATCGCGATATCTCAAATATCGTGGCGACTGAAACATGAAGCAGCGTGGTGCAGCACATTCAGTTGCCCGGAAACATCAAAACCGAGAGATTCAGCAGGGTTCCAGGTGATTCTCTCCTCGAAAAACCTAGCTTAGATTTTGTTCACGAAAAAAAGCCGATCACTGTTTTGGCAAGTTAAGGAAAGAATTTTTCACTAGTAGACTGGGTAAGACGATCAAACATCACCCGCTCCGTCTAAAAGTCATCATGCGTAGTTCCTGGAAACTTGGTCTACACTTCGATAAGACCAGGAACTTGTACAGACATGGTATACGAAGCCGCAGATTAACTTTTGTCCACTTCAAGGCGCTTAAAATTTTGAGACAGTCAAAAAGCGCTTTGATTTACCTCCAGTGTATTGATCCTAATTTAGCCGGCGTTCATTTTTACATCCGATCGGGGCTTTCTGGTTCACGTTACAGTTGAATAAAACGTGCGGAAAGTCGGCACCGGGCACAATGAATTCCCACCAACTTTGTTGGTCTACAAAAAAACAGCCAAAATAGAATACCGTCACGCAAATAACTCACTCGTTTGTGGCTAGACGCCGGAGTTCGCCAAGCCTCGGGAACAGGGTTAGAGTTACCTTCTAACGGAGATGTCGAAGTTCCAACTGGGCGGGAAACATGAAAATTCAGAGAAGTAAACGAGAACAAGGACGAGAAAAATGTATCACACACAATCTGGAAATAGCTCGATTCTGATGAAGATCCTTCTCTAATTGCACTGTTCGACAAAAGTGGATCAGGCATCAAGTGGTCAGTGTTACAAGTCTACAGGCATCCGGAGACAGACTATGGGCAAGCTCTCGTGTTTCAAAGCGGATGCGCAGCTGTTATAATCGATTGAATTCACCTCTGTGGACTCGTGTCGTCAGCTCAAAGACATCCAACATGGATGTCTTCGTATTCATCCATCTGGATGCACTTTCAAGTTTGTTGTTCAAGCTTCCATACAATGACATGGAATGCAATCTAACTGACAAATCGTCAACTTGACTTATAGGATTATCGTTATCACTTGGTGTGTTCAGTCCGTTTGCTGAAACGGGGTGAAATCACTGGCACATGCATGTAGCTGGTGGAGGATGATGAATGACCCATCGTGGAGGGGCAGTTCCTTCGAAAATCACAAGTTAGCGGAGCCCAAGTGTCATCTGTATATGGACGGTCCACGAAAGCCACGTGTCTAAAGACCTAACTACGGAGAGGGTATATGCACAAATCATAACGCTCGCATAATTCGTGCTAGTGGGCTACCTGAGATGATTCGTAAACCGTACACACGTCCTGGTTTTGGAGTAAGTCCTTAGCAGATGGACGAAACCAACAAACCGCTTATGGGCGATAAAGAACCCACAAAAAACCACGCCGTTTTCCTCTGAATAGAATATGGGCGAAACAGCAACAGGGGCTACAGCTTGCCGCAATTGTGAGTACATAGCTAGTTAGAGCTAATGGGGACCAGTTGATAGCAAGGGATCCTGGACAGATATGCACTAAGGGTGATATTTCTGACACAAAATGCCAAGGATTGTGCTGTGTTATCTGGCGTTTCTAACCGATAATTACTTCGCATAAGCTTTCCAATCGTGGGATACGCCATTGTGGACAAAAAGGTGTCTCTAGAACAACCTGTCCTCACCTATCCTGTAAGCGGTTAGGGAGTACTATTCATCCGAGGATCTTATAAAACCGACAATAAAGAGGTGGATAACTCTGCAGTAACACTCATCACAAATAGGCCGAGGCTACGATAGCGAAATTGGTGTGAACGAACTGAAAAGGATGTAGGACAGTTCGATAGAGGTAGTACTGACAACCGCATGTAACTTATTCAAAATCTACGGGTCAATCTATTCAGTTATCTCCAACGTCGATGGGCAGAGTCCGAAAACTAAAGGAAAACACGTCATGGAGTGTAATTCCATACCGGCCAATCAATAAGAAAAGTGATTCCAGCAGGTAGAAATACAATTTATAGCTATCGTAAATGGGGAGCTTGCACGTGACCCACCAAAACTCGGAGGTAAAGCAGGTCCGTAGAAGTCAGTATCAGGTCCTGAGTTTTCAAGTGTCTTCTTTGGATCCGGTTTCTTCGGTTGGGAAGTAATGTGGGACAGCAAGGACAAAGGGTTATCTATAAGAAGAAAACAGAACAGATGGACATTGAAACGCTCCCTGGAAATCGATTTAAATAACATGTCGAGCTTCCCCCATGTTGGAAAGCCTATCTAAAGTGACGAAACAAAATGTCACTTCCAAGAAAGTCTAATATAAGACGCGAGTTTGAAAACCACGAGAACAAGGTCTCCCTAAGAGGGTGATCGTATTCTTGGGTGATATCTTCAAACAGCTGCATTAGGGATTTCAACTTACTTGCATCACCCGTTGGTTCAAACAGATGGGCAAATAAGGAAGAGGCTTGATCGGAATGAGCGTTGTTCAAATTACTGAAAGTCGGACGGGCACTGAGGTCCGAATCGTCTAGAGTTGTTGCGTTGTCCGCTCCATCGCCCTCCGATTCTGAAGGGCTTAGTTCTTCATCAGAGGCGAAAATTGACTTGAACAGATCCATCGACGGCTGTTCAACTGCATCCTCCGCGTCTTGAGGGTGCTGCGGTAAATGAGGTCCCAAACAACGAGGAGCCGATGGAGGAGCCTGTGTATACGGGAACGACATTATGTTATGCACACAGCTTGAAATACAGCTCGTCAAAAAGGTCAACAATCTTCTCATCCGGACCAAAACTTTGATTGACTTTATGAAATATTCATTCACCCTAGAAAAGTTAAAGTATGACCAGTTCCCGGGTTCCCAACCAGTCTCTTGCCGTTTGTTGACACCCAAAAGCATAGAGATCACGCAATGTCCAAACAGCTGACCTCAGACTGAACAAAAACAGAATGCATAGAACCCGAATGCTTATCTCATTTTGTTAAGCATTTTGAACAATTTCTGAATAAGCACTATTGCACCCTTAATCTGAATCGCTTTCTTCTGGTTCAATATCATTTACACTCTCTTTAAGCGTGTACGTTGTTCAAATTACTGAAAGTCGGACGGGCACTGAGGTCCGAATCGTCTAGAGTTGTTGCGTTGTCCGCTCCATCGCCCTCCGATTCTGAAGGGCTTAGTTCTTCATCAGAGGCGAAAATTGACTTGAACAGATCCATCGACGGCTGTTCAACTGCATCCTCCGCGTCTTGAGGGTGCTGCGGTAAATGAGGTCCCAAACAACGAGGAGCCGATGGAGGAGCCTGTGTATACGGGAACGACATTATGTTATGCACACAGCTTGAAATACAGCTCGTCAAAAAGGTCAACAATCTTCTCATCCGGACCAAAACTTTGATTGACTTTATGAAATATTCATTCACCCTAGAAAAGTTAAAGTATGACCAGTTCCCGGGTTCCCAACCAGTCTCTTGCCGTTTGTTGACACCCAAAAGCATAGAGATCACGCAATGTCCAAACAGCTGACCTCAGACTGAACAAAAACAGAATGCATAGAACCCGAATGCTTATCTCATTTTGTTAAGCATTTTGAACAATTTCTGAATAAGCACTATTGCACCCTTAATCTGAATCGCTTTCTTCTGGTTCAATATCATTTACACTCTCTTTAAGCGAAATGTTGACAGGTGCTCTTTGGTGACTCCTCATGGTAAAATTGAAGTTGACTCTTCAAAAAACAGTAAAACTGTTCGCATGCTACAAAAAGATAAATTCTTTTTGCAGAGCATGCACCAATTCTTCCAACGACTCATACAAAACGCCGAAGAAATTCACCATAAAAATAATCACCACAGTGGTTTGCTTAGTTCCAAGGTCACGTGTTTTAAAGCGTTCAGCTGTAACACCTTTCGATGTCTAGCTGTTATGCCACCCGAAGAAGGCACGAGGGCTGGGATACTGCAAGGTTGCCCAAGCCTAGACAGGGGAAGTCAAGAGGCAGACGTCGGGTTCGAACCACGGACCTTCTGATCAGTAAATTCGCACCCTAACCACTTGGGCAACCTCGCCCCATGAGAGTCTAGTCTAGTTTTAAAACGTACGGTTTACCTACCTTGCTCCCCAAGAACAACATCCTGGGTAGATCCTGGCCACAGAGTAACACACTAGGCGTGCTCCGCCTAGATTCCACCTCCATGAGTGATCGATAAATCGGTCATCGAAACCAGCAGCTAGCACAAGTAGCAATCACACAACAGAAGAAGGAAAAACTAGGAACCGCGGTGTGGAGTCAACTGGGACGATTCCTCAGACGAGGGAAACCGGACTGAATGGACATCCAATAGTTTTGTGATCTCTGGCTCATACTATTTAGGACATGGGCATCCAATAGTTTTGGACCTTGTGCTTGTGATCTCTGGCTCATACTATTTAGGACTTGACCTTTTCCTCCCTTGATGGTCAGATTTCTGACATCTTTCTCATGGAAAATAAGAGTCAACTCAATAGAGATAGGCTCTAGATGGATAACAAATTCTGTAGAAACCTGAGGGGGCGAGATAACCCAAATGGTTAGAGCGCGAATTTACTGATCGGAGGGTCCGTGGTTCGAACCCGACCTCTGCCTCTCGACTTCTCCTGTCTAGGCTAGGGCAACCTGGCAGTATCCCAGCCTTCGTACTTCCTAGGCACCGAAAGGGTGCTACAGCTTAACGACAGAAGCCTGACGTGGGAGCAAGCTATTTTTCGCCTACTGCAAAACCATTCTAAACGAGTATTTCCTAACAGAAGCCTGACGGAGTCAAAGAAGATTCAAAATTGAAAATTTAGTGGGAACACGCTATTTTCGCCTACCGCAAAACCATTCTAAACGAGTATTTCCTAAAATACCCTCGCGGTGTAATGGTTGAGCCAGCAAGTCGCTATTTTGGGGTTGATCATCGAAAACCACCAAGTCTGTGGTTTTCGTCCGCTATGTTTGGAATTCTTCACGAGGGTTTATTGTATGGGGCCGATCGTGACGCGAACACTCTGCAAGACTTCGGAGATGGGAGAGATTTAGTGGTGTCGACCATTCAAGTCTGTGAGTTGAACAAGCTTATTGTTAGGTTTTTTTCCTTTTCAGTTGAGAAGGCATGAGTTGAAAAGGAAAGACGACTGTAAAATTTTGTGTAGCACACACGACCCAATGTCAGGGCGGAAAAAACACGGAAACCTGAAGATTGAAAGAGCTCCCTGTCGCGTGTTTAGCGCTCAACAAGTCAACTCACTGGCTTGGGAAAACTTTGCTCATCAGTTTCTTTTGACTCAGGTTTTGCATCACTCAAGGTTACTTGCTTCTCCTGAGCCGCTTCGGCCGCCTCAAACAAACATGCGAAAATCGAAGGTCCACGAGAAGGAGCAACAGACATCGAACCACGAGTTGGCGCAGGTTTGCCTGCATCTGTGGAGAACGACAACTGGTTCTGTTCAGCAGAATCTTCCGGATTTGGAACTGCGGTACTTTGATCCTCTCCGGCAGTCTCTCCATCACTTTCAGAGCACTCTTCGCCATCTCCATGAATATCCATGTTCTCGGGTCCCGGATCAAGTCCACGATTGACATCCAACAAATCAAACAAGGAGAAGTTTTTCGAACTGTCATTGGCACGTCCGCGTCCAAAGCGACGCCGGTGGAGTGGGTTGCGCGGGCGGCGCTCATCGGGGCAACCAACAAATGTTGAACTGTCGAGAAAAGTGGCAAAATAATGTACTTGAAAGTGCTGCTTCTTCCACTGAAAGGTACGTAAGATACATGCCTACAAGAGGGATTACTGCACGCCAACCGTCTCTCCAGGGCACATCAACAATACTTACTCGGGATAGGGATGAGGGACATTGACTCGCTTGCATAGCACTCGATCCGGATGCCAGGTCAATCGTCTTCGAGTCAGTGCACCATACGACTCTGTGGCCACTGCATGATCACGAGGCTCTACAGTTTCCAGACTCTATAAACATGAGGCAAGAAAGTAAGGGCAACGGTTAATGTCTTCAGAATGTCTTTGAGCAAACGTGGTAGAGTTCTCTAAGATCTAGCTGCCAATGCAAAATAAACCGAAAACTTCATTCGTGCGTGCTGTAGACCCAGCACCAGCGTGGTGCTGTTCGCTAAGAAACGTAGGTAGGCCGTCCAATATTGGTACATAAAGTAAAGACGGGAATTCGAACATACAACAGAACGGATTAGCATGTCTCTAGGACCTAAACCTGTCACCCCGAGGTGGTGGTGAAACTGCACTGCAATGAACCTGGGGGCTATGCTAACAGGAATGTCTGTTCCTACGTGTTTACTGGGGAATTCGCCCTGTGGGAAGTCAACCTACGCTGGGAAATTGAGGCACTGTGCAGCCGTTCCATCTCTATTGGGAACCATCAGTATCGCGCATCGTACGAAACTCCAGATTCAGTAGCTGGACACTCAACCGTCAAGCCACCAGCAGCTGATCAGCAGTGTGATTAAATTGCACTTAGACAGGATACAACACCAATCACCTTCAATCACGTAATCCGCATCACTTTATCACGTGACTCCTCGAGCGAAGACTTCTCAGAGGAGAAGGCCCATTCATCTTGCAATTTATTCTTCTTTCTGAGTTACCTAGAGTGTGATAGATGAGTGACACCGCTGAAAGAAATCTCTCCATATCCAAGCTCCTTAGCACCAGAAATGGAGTAAAAACGGAGACGTTTCGTGCAGTGAATCAGAATATGGAAGAAAACAGTGCTGTCCGCAAGAGATTCCGGATTCCTTTCACTATCCCTCATCCCAAAGCTATCATTCCAAGGGACTTTTTTGCAGCTCCAGATTCGCTTGACATTCTTGAGGAGATGTCTCGCAGTTTAAAACATCGAACACCTTGATGACCTTGAGATGTTCCGGCAGACGAATTGGATTGGCCCCTGCCGAATTGCCTTGTTGCACTACTCCACATAATGGGTTATACATTCATTTGTTTGCTACACGACATTGTGAGTAAACAGGTTGTAGCCCTGGTTCCGAAAACCTGAAATGCCATATCAACTTGTCAACTGCAATCATTGCCAACGGAATGGAACACCCACGTGTAACATTGGAAACGACGAAATTTTCTGGAGCTTTCAATGACGTGGTAAGTAAAATACATGCAACCTGTGCATTTACTCGACCATAGCCTGAGACAGCCTGCCCTTCTATCAAACTCCGATAGGTATGTTACCCGAGATGGCGAGATGGCCCAAGGGGTTAGAGCGCGAATTTACTGATCGGAAGGTCTGTGGTTCAAACCCAACCACTGCCTCTTGACTGCTCCCGTCTAGACTTGGGCAACCTGGCAGTATCCCATCCCTCGTGCGACCTTCGGGTGGCATGGCAGTTAGGCGCCTGAAAGATGCTACAGCTGAACTCAAGATCATCGTCATGAAATTCTTCATGCATGTTACCCGATTATCTTCAGTCAGATGGTCGTTGGTTTGTTCGCTGTGCGACTGCAAACGTCTCATCACCAATAGAAGTGACATCATCAGTGCGTTGTTAGAGAGCGTAGTGGTACGTAGCGATTGATTGGTGGTTGTGCCTACCAACTACGTCCCCCAATAATGTTACTTCGATTGGTGATGCAACGTGTGCAATCAAATTGCCGAACTCAGAGAACAAACCGGCGACCATCTACGCCACATGAGCTGCAAACATCTTCATCCACATTTCCAAGCAGCCTCGGAAAATAAAGAACAGGAGCTCCCCCTCTTCATACGAAATGTTGGACTTCATTCAGAGAGGCGAGTTACAACCTCGGTTCGAATACATTTACCACCAACTGGGACAACGAGAACCAAGTTGTGGTGACGCCCAGAAATAAAAGAAGGTCACGCATCATTGTTCCTTGCCGGTCCCTCAGTCACTCGCCTCCTGGTCGCAAACAGGCACGACGTCGAACCAAAGGCGTGCTCAGCAAACCAAACAGAAGATATATCCGTTTCTGATTGCAGAATGAAATCGCGCCTAAACGAGGAGGAACGCTCACCGTTTGCTGTTACCGTGTCAAAGTGCATCACAATATTCTGACAGGTCACTCTGCGCCCTATTGACTTAGTACAGAAATCTATCGTCCGCCGGTAACATAAAACGGAAACATCATGCGTTGTTGTGTCCCACCATCATTGAGAGCTTCCGAAAACCCCTATCCTGAAAGCCACGGGGGGCATAAAGTCTGATTTTAAAAAATTAATCTACGGACAGCAAATGAACTCTAAGTTTGCTTGTACAACACCCTCGAAAGCTATTATTATCGGTCGAACTTAAAGAGGGGGGCCAGAGCCCTGCATCACTAATACGAACTCAGTAGATAGGCCCCGCAAAAATCAATCCCAACGGGAAAACCCACGTGCTTTGTTACTAAGTGGGATGGAGTTCCATGCCTTCCATGCGATGTTAGAAGTTGAGAAACGATATCAAATGTTGCACGCAACTCACCTCAACCATGGCTCGCTGCGCCTTCTCTTCGCTTTCTGTCAACTCTTTGCTGATATCCATGCAACCAGCTGAACGAAACCGGGACGAAAGAAGACTGGCAACCAATTGTTGTTTGTGCGGAGGAAGTTGGGATGACAGTGGGGTTGGACGTGGGACACTGTCGGGTGTAGGTGGATGCGGTGAAGGTTCTGGTGGAACCCGAGGAGTTGAGGGAGTGGGAAGCTTAGACGCACGCATAATGCCGTTGAAAGCGTTCAATTCACGCTCACGCTCCTCACCAGTCATGTCGACAGCCCCGGAACAGCGTGTATAGGCAATCTCAGCTATATATTCGAAGAGGAGAATGTCGACAGAACGGATCAGTCGAATAAACATGTCGACAGCCCCGGAACAGCGTGTATAAGCAACCTCGGCTATATGTTCGAAGGAAAGGATATCGACAGAACGGATTAGTCGGATAAGATGGACAGATATGTCACAAAACGAACTGCAGATGTCAAAATGGGGCCTTAGATTGTTAAATGACAGACGGTTAAGGACCGCAGGTGACCTCACTGCATCTAAGGATAGCACGCCATACAGATGTGGTCTGGATTCAACGGAGTGGACCTAAATATAAAGAACTTCCAGGTTGTCAAACCTGAAGACAACAAGAGGTGGATTTCTGCAGTCTCTACACCCCACGACTAGCATGACCGTGTCCTTGAAGTGGCGCACAAGTGACACAACCCGACCGGTCCAATCCGTTCATCGGTCTTGCCCGAACAAGAACTTGAGCGCACCCAATGCAAAACAAAACATATGCAACCAGCAACATCTCGCTTGCCAAGCAATGTGCTTTCACACACACATACATTTGAACTATATAATGCTTAGTCATGTCTATGATGTTTGACAGCCAATCAGATGTCTACTGTACAGTTTGGAATCATGGTTTGTTCGAATGCCTACGAAATATTCTCCGAACTCCAGTCTCCTCAATGTCAGCTGCCACCTTCTACCCCTGTTCTCCAAGCTTCAAATTCAACCGGGCTACGGGTGAACTGTATACGCTGTTACCTGTCCCGAATGACTAGTTGCCACAAGCATATAAGGACTATTCCATCAATTAGTTTCCACAAAGATGTCATGACGTCTTGTCGAGAGAGCACACTTGTCAATTCCCCAGGCATCGATATAATCTGATGTTAGAGTGGCGGAAACATAAGAACGTCGCTCACGTTTGGGGTAAAATCAATGCCGATACGAAAAAAAAATAACATGGTAGACAGAATGATTGTTCATTTGCCAGCACTCGCTACGGAAGGTGGTGTACAGCCCAAGATAGCATCCGCTATGAACGGCTAAAGGCCGCCAGATTAGAGTTCTTGTTAGGAACAAAGTAGAAATCATTATAAGGTGCACGTTCGCAAACTTACGAGTGAAGCCACGACGAATCAAAACTTGGAACGCTTCGAAGCGGGCTTGTTTGGCCGGATCAGTTTTGAACGGTCTTAGAAGGGCTTCCGGCTTCATGACCGAAGTCGCGGATGGCTGTGTTTCGGAGGCTGGCGTTGGTAAGTTGGACACTGGTGGTACCGGAAGTCCGGCAGCCGCTGCCTGCATGCGCAATCGTTCAACGGGATCCACAAGATCGAAGACAGATCCCCCTTGGTAAACGAAGATTGGGATAAGTACCATAAAATATATTGAGAATCTTACTGGTCAGAAATAACTTGCGTGGCTTACGTGGGAAAAATTCTATTGATTTCACTTAGTTAAATTCTTCACTTTACTGATAAATGAATGGAATTTCGTCTCCCAAATGCACGTAAATGGATATAGGAAACAGGTTGTTCATCTGTGACATCCTTTCGGTTAAAAGCTGCCAGAAAATTCTAAACGGTAGATGGCTAACTGCTGATTCTAATTCTACATCAGCCACTATATGATGAATGAGTTGGGTTCTTGAGCACCACAACAGTAGATTAGTAGCCTTAGATTTAATCAACGACTTCTTGCACGAAATATCTGTGAATATTTGATCAGACATAGTAATCTGGCACCGGACAAACATCTAGCGGTGTGTAAGAGATATCCTATTCGACCCGGTGACAACAGCAATTGGGGTTTTAATCCCGCTCCCATCATCACCAAGCCTGACTACCACGTCAAGGGGGGGCAGCTTTAGGTCGAGAACCCCACTCCCCGTATCCGGTTACTTTGAACCGTCTACCAGTCAAGTGACAAGGTACGCTTGGGTAAACGTGCGAGAGAGCAACTGCAGAAAAAGCAGTATCAATATATATATTCTAGCGACCGTGCCATACAGGAATCTGAAGTTTTTCTCCTCAGAATCATTCACTCCCTCTATGGCCAGAGAAAACAATCGCATCAATATTAGCAACATAGTCGACCGACCTATCCTTCGGATCAGCGATCCTCCAGCTGCGAAGTTGGTCCATAGTCTGAAGAATTCTTTCGAACATCGTCAATCCTCACACGGCCGACCCTTATTCACCTAACATTCGCTCTTCGATATGGGAAGACGATCCACAGGTTAGATCCTTGCGTTGCAAAGCTCCTCGCGCGCTGATGAACCTGATGGTTGTTGGCGGTCAGCCACTATGCTTTGCGCATCCACGAGTTTGATACGATGGTGTTCATAACTGATACACCAATAGTTAAACCCACTTAATAACACCAATTTTATCAGGCGAAGGGCTGATAAATTTTCAGTTTCTTCAGCGCTACTAACTGTGACAGACCCGAATATATATACATATATATAACAGCGGTCCCTAATCATGGTCACCACAGGTGGTCTACCTGTAAAGATCGCATGCTAAGTTGTCGCGAGGTAGCTTCGTGTCTCTCTTTCGGGACAAGCAACACAGCTGATAATCACCTGACTGATACAGTTAGAGCCGATAAGTTAGCATCTGATTAGTTTACTCACAGATCGAACGCATCCAATCAATAACACCTACAAGAGGCATTATCTGGAAGAAAAATTGTTACCAAGTACGAATGTCAAACTGGGAAATTGGACATGCTACGAGAAACACGAAGCACTATGTCGGAAACAGATCTTGTGTAGCAGACTAGACGGTTCTAGACACAATAGGCCAGCTATCATCGAAACACAGATGTAACGACTTTATCAAACATCCGGCGTAAGTAACCACCTACCTTCAACTGGAGAACAAGCCTTCTAAAGGTGAATTTCTTGTGTTACGGAATCGTCCCATTGTATCAGCCACTCCCTCAAGGAACAAGACTCCCCGGACGTTTCCTGGCTGACTCGCAGTGGGCTGTCAAGTAGGGTGGGGGTTAGAAAAGGAGCTATACATTGAAGGTAACAGCTCGAATGCACGAGCGCCATTGAGGGCGCGACTGGGCCATGTCTGACAATGTCACTAGCCATTGATGTGGCCCGTCTCGGGG